AGAGAGAGAGAGAGAGAAGGCACGACGTTTAACAAATTTAAAAAAAAATTTAAGAGTTCTAATATCACTTTTATAGTTCTACAATTTTCGATAAAAATTATAAAGTTCCGCATTCTTATTTTAAATTAATCGAAATTGAAAAATATTTTAACTTCGCAAATCTAACGTCGTGTTAAATTTGCGAAGTGTCGTACTCCTCTCCTCTAATTCTAAGCACTAAAACACATTAAATACTATCATTTTTGGCAAGAAGCATTTTGGCAGTTGAACAGCTATCAGGAAGTCTTGCTACAAATTATAATATTTAATGCGTGTTAGTAATTAGGGAAGAGAATGTCGTGTTAGATTTACAAAGTTAAAACGATATTTTTAATTTAATTTTAATAATTAATTTTAATTCTTTAATAAGAAATGTGTATGTACATAGAATCTTTTAATTTTATCAAAAAACTATTAAAAGTGCTATTGGAACTCTTAGTATTTTTTTAATTCGTACACAGGGAGAATTTTCTCTTATAATTTATACTTTAAAAATCATGATAATCGTGGGACAACTTGGAAAGAATTTTATAAGAATTTTTATGATTAATATTTATCACAATAAAAAATAAAAATATCTATCACAATAAAATATAAAATATGTTTAATTAATTTTACTATGTAGTTTATATAGTAAGTTAATCAAACATGTGTATGGATTTTCAGGATAAAGTCTAAGAGAAAATTCTCTCAGTGTAGAGCGTTTTGCCAATTCTGTAGACACTAGAATTATGTGAAGCAGAGCAGAATGCAAGTTGTAATCGTTATCTCATGTATTGAAATACTATACGATATTTTACGGAAAACGTGCTCAAACATTTTATACATATTATTATTTAATTATTAATTTATATTTGTTATTATTTATTATTATTTTCATTATTTATTATTTTGTACTATCGGTTATCGAGTCTTTTGGCGCGGCGCGGTAAGACGCGGGAACGACGACGTAACCATGGGCAGTGGCGCGCTGCCTTCCCCTTACCGCGCGCCGACGGCCTATAATGGTACACACTGGGCCGTCCTACGGCTCAGGCGGCTCGAGCGCTTCTCGCGGCGCGCTCTTATTCGCCTGACTTTAACATTAAATATCTCTGTTATTATTGCAAATATCGCAAAATGGTATTAGACTTTTTTGTTCGTCTCGATCTCCTCTATCACCTCACGAGAGTTGTTAAGGGTGCTTTGGGACACCCTGTATACTTCATAAGATAGTTTATTCATCGATTTCTTACAATATTAAAAATAAAGTACTATCCCATAATTATACAATTTAGAACAAAATGATACTATTTTGCTATGCATGCAGATGGTTGTCGCTGTCTGTTTGGCGTTTTGTGGGATCCGAAGTATTAAACAAAAGTCAAGCATCTTCGATGGTATCAACTTGTTATAAGAAGTAACTTTTATTCTATGTATGTAGTAGTTCCTAAGAAATATAACGTATTTGCATAAATATTTAAGACAAAAGGAAATGTACAAACTCTACAATAGTGATAACACATCCTGTATAAGTTATTAAGACAGTATCTAACAAACAATTAATTTTGAATTAATCGAATCTTAAAAAAATATTTTTTATAAACATTAAAAATAATTTTTATATTATATTTACCGTCTATTGCATTACTATATATCCTTTCATATATCCATAGACGAATTATCAGGCACGCAACATCATTGATTTTTCATTTAACACTTTTTGTTTTCTTCTTTTCTGTTACTTTCTTCATTGAAAATTTCCGAGATTATTATATGTTACTGTTACATGAAATTTTCATATATTTTTATAGAATTTTTAAAGAAAATAAATGAGTAAACATAAATGAGTAAACATAAATGAGTAAAAATGAGTAAAAAAAAACAAAAAAAGGACTAAAGAAAGGGGAAATAATAAGAAGAAAACAGAAGTAAAGTGCGTTTGCAGTTACTTAGAGTTTATTAGTGTCGTCATACCAATAATAATATAATAGTTCCTTTAATCAAAGATGAAAAGGTTTCAAGCTTAACATAGGGCGGTATTCATAGTCCGTTTTTCAAGATCGTCTTAAGTGCTGACTTATATTCGCACAGATTGTGTCTGAAGAAGAGAGCAAATATAAGTCCCTACTTAAGACAATCTTGAATATAAGAACGGACTATGAATACCGGCTATAGCGGATGAAGTAAGGTTGACGGTTGGCAGTCTTTGAAAACGTTTGCAAGTATAAGTACTACAGTTTCACACATTAGATGAACACAGTGGAATGCTTATCTATATGATTATTCCAAGTTTTTTAAACGACACAAAGCTAAGGAAACGGATCAAATGTTTTGATATGTTAATACTGTGTACACGCTGTGATACGAGTCGCTAAATTCATATCATTATTTTTAATAATCGCCATTACTTTCCGAAAATGGACAAAATTTAGATAAAAACGAGCAAGCGAAAAGTAATTGCAACATACATCTATCATACAACTGGTAAGTAAACGGCGTGGAAGTCATTTTCATGAATTGAGGTAGATACCATCTCTAGTTGAGACAATTAATCTCTTACGCATAGTTTAATACTTGCGTCTGCGTTTATTTAGCAACTGCGTTTTAAAAAAACATAAATTCTACAATCATTCAGTAACAATTATTTATAGCTAATATATTTATTTTTCGATGTATTGAACAAATCGATTTTAATCTGGGAAACTGATTACTCGATTCTTATTCTTCTCAACACAGTTTTTTCTCTCATTATAATATTTGAAAGTATAAAAAAGGGAATAAAAATTATTATTTGCATGTGATGGTATTTTATCACGTATTTCTATATGTGATAAACAGTGTGTAACAATTTTCTTACCTTGCTTATAGTATAGTTTATAATTTTATAAATATATTTTTTATAAATTCAATAAATTTATCTATGCGTTATCTTCTGTTAATTAATCACGTATATAATGTAAGATAAGATAATATAATGTAAGATTTAACTATATTCTGGTCGTATATTCATCTATCATTCCTGTCTGTAGTTGACATATCAGTTCTTTTAGATTTATTGATATAATTTCCAATAATAATTGATTTTTGTTTTTTTGAACATTGCTACTTTCGTGTTTTAATAATTTAAACGTATAAAACAAAAGTTAAAATAGTTATTTATATGTAATATTATAACACGAACATCTATATATGATAACCCTGTGTCTAGCCACCTGTGTCTGTGTTGTTGCTGCCACGTTGCCGAAAACAAAAGGCATTAGTTTTCAGCAAATTTAGAACAAGGTATGTGAGTCATTTGCCTCTGGTATGATATCACATGAATTCAGCATGTGTTGCTGTCAAGTTGCTATGCGTTTGCTGTCAATGATTTATCGCTGTACATAAAGAGCAAAATGACAGCAAGTTGCCAACAACACATGCCGAGTCATAAATTTTAGCAAAAATTCAACAGCTTGTCGAAAACGGTTAAATATATTTTTGCACCCTTACTCTTTTCAAACATATAAAATAATAAGTAAATAAATTCTTCTTTTTGTTATCAACAGAAAAAAATTTACTTATTTATTATTTTACTATATCTATTATATATATATATACCTTGCTGCAAATTTTTATAGGTAGAAACCGAAGCTGTGTTAATTTGCCACAAGTATCGTCGATGTATCGCCTATTTATTTATTAAATTGCACACACTCGCAAGAACACACATACACACATACACAAAGATAGGACATTTTCGACATTTTATTTTGGTTACAAGCCACAATTAACATATTTAATCAGTTTTTAACAAATTAATATATTTAAATAGTTTTTAACAAATATATGACAAAAGCACAGACATCATTATCTTTTTCTATCACCGTCATGTTGCTCTTATGTTGTCGAAAATGAATGACAAAGCAAAATGTTTTCCATGATAAGAAGTCATTTTGTTGGCAACAAAATGAGCAACAGTTGCTCTCCGATTGCTCTGAATCTGCTGACACGAAATGTTTCAAATCTGCCCTCGTGTTGTTGAATACGTATGACTATGCATTACGTTTTTAGCAATTATATAGCAACTAGTCGAAAATTCATGCTCAGCATTAAGTTGCATGATTTTGCAAAATATGCTTGGCTATCAGGGAAGTAGTGTTTAATAATATTACTATCTTGTGTCTAACACAATTTACCCACACAGCTAAATTAAACCTAGCCACTTTGTAAACAAACAAATGCACTTATATGTGCAAAAATTGTCAGAAACAATCTATGTATTATAATTTTTACGCATATTATACACATTATAATACAAAATGCTAGTAAGAAAAAATGCGTTCTCAAGGCAGATTCTATGAGATTTGTCAGTTATTTAAGATTTATTTGAAACTTTAAGAAATAAATTTATCCAATGTCAGGCAATATCTCAAAGTTTAAAAAAAGTTCTTTTTGTATGTAGTTATTAAATTAATTTTTATTTAATAACACACTTACTCGATAGTTTTCATAGGTTAATCAGTCAAAAATGAGTACCCGTCATAAGACATGCATCGTAATTCTGTTCATCGCTATGACAAGCATTTTTGCTCTCCAATGTCCAACGAACAAGGAGTGTCAATGTATATTACGGAATTTGACATTTGATATAAATTGTACAATAAATAATAATAACAATGTCGAAATATCTATTGACAACGAGACTGCTTCAATAAATGTACGTATTCATCAAATCATGAGCATTTTATATTGATGTATACACATATCGCACACCCGCAAAAAAATGATACAAGTTAAAAATGTCAAATTGTTCTGGAGAGAGGAAAGAAGAAATTGCGTTAATAATAACGTTTCCTTTTAATAATATTATAAATTAGTCTTTATCTCAAATTCTGTTACAAATTATAAATCGTCTGAAACAAAGTTGACTTTACGGAAAATAATTTCACATGTCTATACATGGTTAAACAATAATTTTAAAAATTATTTACTTACGGCGGAATTAAACATATCGGACTCACGGAAAGTATTTAAATTCAACTTCTACCACTTTCTTTGATTGAAGACCGACATATTTAGAACACAATCTGTACATCAAACTAAATTCGAAAAATTTTGATTTGTGTTACTTTCCTTGAGGATGTGCGAGATATAATTTTAAAACTTTGTGTACTCACAATCAATATTACTATAAAAATCTAAACCAAAAGCTATAAAATTAAAAAATGATTAATATAGATAAAAATTAATTCTTTGCTATATTATACAATTAAAAAATATTAAAAGATATCGAATATTAAAAAATATTAAACTTTTCATGATTACGATATTCATGTTTTTATATTTAATAATATTTTTCGTAGAGCAAAGTATTTTTTTAAAAAATTTTCTATTTCATCTTTCTTTAAAAAGTTTTTCAATGTCTTACTTAGAACTACTTATTTACAAAATTATTTATTTTACTTCTACATACTATTAAAAAATAATTTTGTATAAAATTCATGGAAAGTTTCACAAATAAACGTTTCTTCTTTTTTCTTTTAACTTTTAGATAATTAAATCAAATTTACATAAATATGTTTTTCACATAGATTACCTGTATCAACTCAGCGGACTTGTCAAATTTTAATCTCGACATATAGAATATTATGTTGCATAATACTTCTTGGGCTTCTGACTACCTGATGGTGTTCAAAGAGTGCAATTTACTTAAGAACATCGAATTGATTGACATTGCGCGAATGCCAAAAGCTACAGATATTAAGAAATTAATTTTTTCATCATACAAAAACTTGAACTCGACCTTGAAAAAATATCATCTAAACGGTTTCGAAAATTTAAAATCTCTGAGAATAGAGAGCTACAACATACACCATGTGGACAAAGATCTGTTAGCCAATTCGCAAAAATTACAGACCCTTTACATAACAAACACCAACTTAAAATCTTTGGCCGTTGAATTTTTTGATTTTACCCCCGAATTAAATTGGCTCTATTTGAGGAATAACAGTTTGAGACGGATAGAATCCACCACATTTGATAAGCTGACAAATTTAATACATCTGGATCTACGTAAGAATTATTTAACTGAGTTCCCAGCGGGCATTTTCGACAAACTTGTCGCTCTGAGACACCTCGATGTGTCAATGAATGACTTATCCAGTTTACCAGAAAATATATTCGCAAAGCTGGAAAACCTTAACAATCTTTTTCTAGAAGGGAACAATTTTACAAATCTGCCAAAAGAATCTTCTACAAAACAATACAAAATTAGGCAAGAAGTTTACTTAAATAGACAACTAAGAGAAATTT